ATATGAGTATTAATAGCTTTCAATATTTTTATATACATATTTCAATTAATTTTTAATATAAATATAGTAGTATGTTATTTAATCGTCTCTTTTTCCACTTATGGCGCATTTTCTTCTCGTTATATTTATTTATTCTCTAATTGTTGGTTGACGCTCTAAACGGCCTCTACACAAGCGTGATTTTTTACTTTCAGCTTTATTTTGCAACGAGCAAATTCAAGTACAATCCCAAGACTGTGGGCAATGAATCAACTGCATCCGGTATAATGCACTTTTCCCTACTTCGCTCTTATATAATTTATTTAGTTTCATATTTATTGTATGCTACTGTGTCTTCCATCAATTGCGCAATGATGTAAGGRAATATGTCAGTTTGTACTTAATATTAACTGAGTCTTATCAAGTACGGCGGAGAAGAATATTTTGTGGGCGACGCCTGCTTTTACACTTTCTTGAAGAATAATTGCAGTCCTTTACGYAATGACTTGAATATCCGTATATGAGCATACCTCCTTCATTTTTGACACCTTCTTAAGGGGCTATACACTGTGACACTTTAAAAAAAAAAGATATTTTTTTTTCGCTTTTTGTGCCCAAAAAATAAGGTGACATTGTATTTATTTTGAAAATTCTTTATTTATTCTTCCAAATCAATTTCATCCCCTTCAAAGTAATCCCCACTAGATATGGTATGTTATGCCAACGGATTTTCCGATCTGCGAAACACTGGTTGTAGTCACTTTCCGGGATGGCCTTTAGTTCCGTCTTCGCTGCGGCTTGAATCTCCTATATCGTATAAAAACGGTGTAACCGGAGCGGTCTTTTGAGCTTGGTGAACAGCCAGAAGTCGCACGTCTAAAGATCAGGCGAATATGGTGGTTGCGGAACGATATGGGTTGAGTTTTTGTCGAAATCATTATTTAAAGCAAATACGTTGCTCAACAAATTTCGACATCGCAAAAAACGAAAAACTTTTAGCAGCTCACAAAACGACACCTATCGCAAACACTAATGAATATTTTRACATGAAATTTGACATAAATGTGACTGACAGTACTACCAACATAAAAAAATAATTCTCCAAATCCTTCGACACGCGCAGTTTAAATTCAAATGTCACCTTATTTTTTGGGCATACATATTTCCAAAAATATCCTGTGAAATCGGCAAGGTCGTTACTTGAATAGTTTTTGAACGGCAGAGTTCTAAAGAGCGACCGCTTGCAGKTATACATAAACATAAACTTAAATGCGTTTTTCTCAAAACGATATTTCTMAAATTAAAACTGATTATTGTTGAATAAATTTACTATACAATGACCTACGATCTTTTTGATCGGTTGAAAATTTTGTTATTTTTTATGATTTTCAAAGATCGTAGGTTATTGTATGGGAAATAACTTCAACTTTAATAACCTTTTTGACTTTTTATCTCAGCCGGAACCATGTCATCAGTTGGGGCTCTTTTTTTATGAACCTYCGAAGACAGCAAATAACTCCGTTATTTTTCAACAGCTTTTTAAAAAAAATCTTAAAATTTAGCTGAAAATGTACCTTATTATGTCCAAAGAGCTTCGAAACATTCGACCGAGTACATACTTACAACACAGAAAACTGTTTGCCAGGACACTCAAAAATTTGGATCTCTCTCCTCTTAAACATATGTATGTATACTAAGACACTTCATACTTTCCACTACAATGAAATCTTTTTTAAGTCTAGTGAAAGTCTAATAGCTTCTTCCTTAAATAGGGTACCGATAATTATTAATAATTATAATTAAGATTGCTTTTTATGGACAATAAAACAGAGTCTTAAAAATAACTCACTTTTTCATGCTGCTTTAATTATTTTATTGAAAACAAATTACATATGTATGTATATGCCTTCATAAAATACTCGCCATGGAAACGAGTGCCGTTGATTTTTACAAGGCTCTCCTCGCCACTACAGTCAGCAAACAAAATTATGTTAGTCACAATAACAGACGGTTGTAATAATCATATTTTAAATTTCCAACCATTAAAAAGTGTGACCACTGCGTGAGCTATTTTTACACATGTTCTTTAAACGTCAACTAAAACGAAAACTATTTGCATGCTCACGTATGAGTGTAGTTCGAAGATGTTTATGAGTATCATCTCTCTTTTCAGCACTCACTTTCATATTGAAACCATAAAACCGTCTCCAATCGTTTTGGAGAATTTTCGAAATATTTTACAAGGTCGTTTATTTCCATATCGTAAGGTCACTAGACCAAAAGATATGTGGTTCAACGTACCTAAGTAGTTTTTATGGCGTGTGTGTTCTTGAAAAAGTAATATTTCAGAAAACTTTTAAWAATCAACATTTGAATTCTAACCAAATCTTAGTACTTGTAACATTTATCCTACTRTGAATAAAATAAGATTTTTAAAATATTCCAGAAGTTTCATGATTTAGTCAGTCAGCAGGTTATATGTATTTACAACAATAAATAATTTTGTTTACTTCATAAATTGAGACGCATTTRATTTTTGCTGCCTCGAAAACAACGCGCGTCTATTTATTAAATATATTCATAGGCTCTTATACAGACACRCATACAYATAAATATATATAKTATATACATACATATAAGTATATATGCTAGCTGTACTATCATTTTAATTTGGTTGATACCGGGCTGGGTGGCGAATTCAATAAAGATGAACTTGACATTGAACTTAAGCACTTACGCCCATGTATAAGTATGTAAACATATTTATTTATRTACCATAAATAAAGCTAATAAATTATGTATGAAATCAGAAAAGTATCAGTATAAAAAATCTGTCATTAGGGCAATTTATATTTATGTACTGAAATAACGTGAAGATAGTCTTAAATTAGGTCAGAGTTTCTAAATAAAATAGCTCACTCCTCCAATTCCTGGAATAATGGATAGGAAAASTTAACTAAAATCCAGACTTTTSTAATATTTTTAGGTAAGATTCCCASAAAATTCTTGCCTTCTTTTCACAATTTGCACAGTTCTAATTCCGATATAGAATACATAAACACCATCTATCACCATTTAGAGCACACAGCCTAATCCCAATAATCATCATAATGATGTCAGCTCGAAATCCATGCGTAARTACATATCTTCGCTTGAATGTAGCATCGAGAGGCCATATCTTCGATTTGCGCCTGTTTATATTATCGTATATGTACATATGTGAATATTGTCCCAGTTTATTGAGAACTTACAGTCGATGACATTGACCCACATTCGATTTGTTTAGCGTTTTCTTAAAACCAAATAGTAAGTATTTTTGAGATAAATCCCAGCAGTATTCGACTAGGTAAACTTTGCAGTGTTGCGAATGCTGATTCTTACAACATACTTAGTTAAAGATAGAAACGATATGWTCGCTATGAAATAAATTAAACTAACAAGATTTTTGGTGTAAAGTCAGCTATAGGTACCAACGACTGATATTCAGTTTTTGGATATTAAAAGTATTATCCGATTCTTACAAATTTTAGATAAGAGTTGACATGGCTGTAGCCCCATTTCTGTTCATATCGTTGAATTGGAAGTGGATAAAGTAATATCCAATTTTTCACTCTGTCATGAATTGATAAAGAGAAATGTTTTCTCTACGTTAGGTTGATATTACTTTCGGAAATTSTCAAATACACCTTTTTCTTTTTTGRATACGGGATCATAACCACCTTTGTGCCATTGCTGGCATTTTTTAATTTCTTACAATTTTACCAGAAGAATTGCGGAAATTGTAAATAAAATGCAAAATGTTTAATTATTCATCAATATCTATTTTTCACCTCCAAAGTAATCCACACCAGATGTAATACACTTTTGCAAACGTTTTTYCAGTCCTAGAAACATCTTTTATAAGCTCTTTTTGGGATGGCCATGCGCTCCTGCGAATTTTGTTTTATCACATCGATCGACTAAAAACGGATTCCACGAAGTGGAATTCCGGTTTGRGGAACAAGAAAAAATCACACGAAGCCAAATCTGGTGAATAAGGTTGCTGATCGRTTGTATTTATTGCATTTTTGGCTTTAAATTCGYTCAGAATCGTACGTATGAAAAAAAAATTCATTAAAAATATCTACCAAAATCATTCGAACGAACTCGCGAAAGATTTCGAGCTTTCTTGCCATCTCTCTAAGACTTGCCCGACGATTTTCAAATACCATATTGTTCACTTTTTTAATATTTTCATCAGTAAAAGTGGTCGAAAGTCATTCAGAACCAGGCATGTTTTCAACGATAAATCATTTTTAATCAAAGGCTGAAAAGCTCGTAACGTTTCTAAGAAAAAGTTAAACTAATTATTATACGGACTCTGATATAATTTAAAAACAATTTTCGCAAGWGGAAATTATTTGAATATGTACATATGTGTTCTGCCAGGAATGTAGAAGAAATCTTTCTTAATCATCTACCAAAATTGATTTGAAATTGAAAAACTTGACTTTAAAGTAACTAAAATATACATATGAAGGTAATTGGCACTATTAATTTAAGTTGAAGTTGTATTAATGTTGCCATCTAAAAGGTGACGATTTGACAGATATTTCAACAGTATATGATTTTGAAATAKACATATACATACTTGCAGAATAARTTTTCAAATAAATATTTCTGACAATTAAATAAAATTTTAAATAGAGTAACAACTCAATTAAAAATATTTTGACAAGTTGAGTTGTTATCATTAATATCGAGTTGAAAATGTTCAACCATAGTAATGTTTACTTTAGCAATAGTTGGAAGCTCAAAGTTGTCTGTGATCTCCATATTACGTCTTGTTTTTGTTATAAGAAAGCATAAGAACGTATTTCTAGTCATGAGGCAAAGGCTCGCAAGATATCTTTACATTTCGAAAAGTTTGGAAAAGATGGGAGGAGGTGACGCTTCYTTTGACAATTCATCAAACACACTGCTTCTCAAACCTACCTGTAATTTTCCTTTGAACACCGACCAGAGAAATCAAAACACAAAGCTTTTCCTTATARATTTTTATAATTAAATACAACATTTTTTATTTACAGACATTTGCATTTTTTCCTTCTTTAGCTGCTGTTAAAGTAAACTGTTCTTTACACATACATATGTAGGTGTATTTAGTGTGTCATAAATGCAAGTCAACCCACATGGGCATGAAGTTGCGAAACAAGTGGGCGATAGGCAATTGCCATTAATTAACTTAAAATTAAACCAAGAAAACTAAAAACTCATCATAAAAAGTAATATATAGGAAAAATACATTACAATACATTCAGTAATTACTCGAACGAGCAAATGAGTTGCATATGATGCATCCTCCTACTTTTCTCTGMACAGAACGATTGGCTCGAACGATCTTTGTTAAAGCTTAGTTTAGTTTAATTCGATATACTCACTGGAGTACATGAGTATATTACATATATAAATTTAAACAATATTTTTTTTCATTCGTATTATTAATAATATGCGCACACGTCCGATTGATGTGAGAACCTGCCTTAGGCTTAGACTAGGACACAACAGACTTGTCCGCCTTGGCAATCGGTGCCGGGTCGCTGTAGGTACTCGGCACAGGTATTCATGCAGATGCCCAAATGCTGCTCACACGGTGCGGGCCTCAGTGGCACTACTCGGTATGCAAAATTCGGATATGACGTGATTGGGTTGATGTAGTGATGCAAGATATTCGGGTGAATGTCGTCGATGAGCGTGGCGAATGAGTTCAGTCACGGAATGCATTCATATCGGCATTCATAGCGCGGTTGCGGTTGCRGCGAATGTTGAATGTTTTCGATTAGATTGCGTTAGAAAAAATCATCATCATAGGAATTTGTTGGATTTTGGATAGCGTGGTAATATAGTAGAATTTGGTGGCAGGTGGAGGCGACAGTAAGGATAACAATGAAGAAGAATACAAATATTACAGTGGATTAGTGAGAGTGAAATACCGATTTTATTTGTTAGTATAGATTTTGTGCGGAGCCAACACAATGGAATTAAGTGTAGATATATATGTATGTATATATACAGTTTTTGTAGAGGATTTCAGTTTTGGGAATTTTTGTGTGATTTGTTTAGAGATTTTCAGGATTTACTGTCGAAAATTATGTAAATGTTAGTTATGTCCCCATCAGCAGTGTAAGTGTGCACAATATACTTACGTTCATAGCAACATTCCACGCCACGGTGTTTGTTGGCTGGGCATAGTCCGCGATTCGTAGTCGGCTCCAAGCAATCGCTGTGGTGCACACACAAACCGCCAAGCAGGGCGCACTCACGGTCGGCGGGATAGACTTTCACTCCCTGTAACACTAAGAATTGGAAGTTTATGTTAACAATTTTGCGCAAAATATGGGCTAGTTCTCATTAATAAATAATGCTACGATATGCCTGAACCAAAAACCAAAATATTCACGTGTTTTTTTTTAATAATCGTTCTGCATAAAAAAAAGTATCCTATGACAAAGAATTAAAATAATAATAATTGATCTATAATTTTCATATTATCTTCGCCTTAACTTTTCGTTTACTTTTTTTGGCATCTCTTAAAATAAAATAAATTTCAGCTTCAAATCTTTTGTTTATTTTACAACAATTAAAAGCTCGAATTGCTTTTTACTATAACGGCACACGTGTGTATGCTTGTATACAACAGTTGTGGCCACAAGTAAAAGGTGTTGACCCAATTTAGCCATACTTTGAAGTGCTGATCGTCGGTTACATGCTTGACTCAAGTGATCAACTTGTATTTTTRCGATCTCACACAATTCATATTATGCAATATTTTTACAGTCGCTTTGTAAAGTAAAATTTAATGGCAGTTAAATATAATTTCACAGCATGATTTTCTTATAAAAAAAAATTAATTTTTGCTTAATTTT